TTAAGCAGTATTCAAATGCCTAGCGATTTGTGTTTCTGTAGTAAGCCAAACCCTCGTCGCAGACTCAGACATCTGAAGACCAGGCCCTTCGCTGGGAGGGGCCATGGAGAATTGTTGCACTAAGGCCTGGTGCCTGCTGACTCCCTTCCCAACCACCGCAGAGGGCCTCTTCTTGCCCGAAATAGTTTGGCCTTGAGCTTCCCGATTGCAAATAAGCTATATCTCAGTGGTGAGCTGAAAGGGATCTCAATAGTAAGAGGCCAAGGGCTGGATAGTGGTGATGGCTGCAATAGCACTCATGATCCAGATAGTGGCTGTGAACTAACCTAATGGAAATAGCCCATACACGGAAGTCTAGTAGTGGTTGTAAGGCCAACTCAATGGCCACGGCCAGTCCCCGTGTAATCCACTCAGTGACAGCAAGACCAACTTAATGGTATCGGACAGCACACGTGTAATCCACTTAATGGTGGTAAGCCAAATTAATGGTTATGGCCATCACAATTGGTTCCTTTAGAGGCGGCAAGATCACCTTAATAGCAAGGTTGTAAAGGGGAGGAGGTCTTTAGCCAGATGCAGCTACACTCTGTTGCTTTGTGCCTTGGATAATTGTTTCTCTAAGGCCTGGAGCCTCCCGCTGCTTCCTTTTCAGCCGCCCTAGAAGATTTCTTGACAGAAATAGCCTTGGTCTTAAATCTATTGGCCGCCTCCTGTTTGGAGAACTTGGAACTTCCTTTTCATGGAAGTGCAGAGATGCATCCTGTGAAGTCTGAGATGCCAAGTTGTCAGCCATCGCCATCCGAGATATTCCGGTGGTGTGCTGAGAAAGATCTCAATGGTAAGGAGCAGAGTACTGATAGTGGCAAGGCCACTCAATGTAAGAAACGGTGTACTCGAGGTTCTAACGTGACTGCAGAACCAAATTACTGGTACTGCCCTCACCCATGCAATGCTCCTGATGGCAATAGGGCCAGTAAGCGCACCTCCAGTGTTATGGTCAATTCAACTGTGGTGGGAAGACCAACTGAATGGTAACAGCCAGATCACAAATAGTTCAGTTAGTGATGTCTGTCTCACTTAGTGATGGCAAGACCAACTCAATGGTAACAGCCAAGTTTACCTGTGTTTTCCTTAACGACGGCAAGCCCAACCCAATGATAACATCCAAACTTAAATGTGTTTCACTTAGTGACGGTAAGACCAACTCAATGGTAACAGTCAAGTCACATGTAGTTCACTTAGTGATGGCGAAACCAACTCAATGGTAAGATCCAATGTACATGTAGTTCACTTAGTGACGGCCAAGCCAACTCCATGGTAACTGCCAAGTCACATGTGTTTCACTTAGTGACGGCAAGACTACTCCAAGGTAACAGCCGATACACATGAAGTTCACTCAGTGACAGTAAGACCGACTCCACTGTGGTAGCCAATGCACATGTAGTTCACTTAGCAACAGCAAGACCAATTCAATGGTAACAGCCAAGCCAAATGTATTCACTTAGTGGCGACAGGACCAAATTTTGAGGCCTGTGTGAGGCCAAAAATGTTGGTCTGTCTTTGTTTGCCTCTGTTTGCAGGCCTAGTCCACCTGAGGCCTGACAAAATTAGTGATAACCAGAATCAAATCCAAGAAGAAATTTAGACTTAATCAGCCACCTGCAGAAGTTGACCGTAAGCGCAAGGTGATGTGCCTGCTGTTGTTGCATGAAACAGAAGTACAGAAGCTAGGCCCAATTGATGGTCATGATTTGTGGCCTTTAGAACTGACCGCCACTCAGGATCATTGAGATCTAAGGCCCTTTGCAAGATTGCAGCCAGAACTGAATTCCATTCCTGCCTTCCTATGTCCTGATGAAATTCAGTCCAAATGGACAAGACAGGTTGGTCTGCCCCTAAAAGGAGCACTCTGACTGAATCAGCCAAAAACAATTACTGCCTCCCATGCAGCGCGACTGCGTGGCATCCAAGATGGCAACCACTGCCAGCAAAAACAAAAGAAGTGACTCCAGCTGATGCCCGGGGGCAGCCAACAACAAACGATCCGAAATTGCTTGAGAACCTGCAAACGACAAGCCTCCACATGGTCCCAAACAATGCAAAAAAGCAAGCAAACAAGGGGAATGATCGCGCCTCCACAAGGCGTCCATCAGCACCCACTAAACAGGCTGCCTACCAGGGTGAGTTGGAAGCTCCTTTATGACACCTCAATCCCCTAAACGGAGCGATTTAACGCTGCGCTATTAAGGCACAGCGACTGGAGAAAAATCCACTATAGATGGAAATAAGTAAAAGAATACTACCTGATCTCTCTCTGCCTAAAGACTGAGCCAATCTTACCAAATCTCATTTTGGCGAAGACTAAGTTGAAAACTGGGGCTCCTGGGCCAGGGGAAGAGGCGTGGCAAAAGTTGATTGACTTAGTCTCTGGGCAGGAAGACAAGGATAACCCATCTATGGTGGATTCTCCATCGGTCGTGTTGGAGAATGAACACTTAACATCAAAAATGTCATCATTTTATACCCATAAAATTGGATAAGAAATTTTTTCAAAACCTTAACAAAATTATTCTTAAATTTATTTGGCAAGGAAAAAAAGCAAAGATCAAATTAAAATTATTGCAGGATTCGAAGGAGAGTGGGGGGACTTGGCCTCCCAGACATGGAAAAATACTATCAGGCCATAGTTTTACTATCGATGCAGGATTGGATACTTTTGAAGAACAGGAGATTACTATGTTTGAAAGGTCATGACCTACAAATAGGATGGCATGCTATGCTATGGGACCAGAAATATAGGTCACAGGTACTATATTAGACGGGCCTTAATTGATGTATGTGTCAAAACCTGGCAACCAAACTATACTCAAGTCCCTGGCTGGATCTCACCGTTAGAAATATATGTACATCCAAAGTTTTTTCAATTAGGGAAGATTATAACATATAAAAATGTACTAGATGAAAAAGGGGAATTGAAACCCAGGAAAACTTTTCAAGACGAAGGGATAGAATTAGAATGGTGGGCATACCTTCAACTACAGGCGAGATATTGGAAAGACAAAAAAGAATTAGATATAAAAGTAGAATTGATAGGGTTGGATAAAACTGAGGATAAAATGATTAAAAAGTTATATCATCATTTGTTAGAGCAGGCAATGTAAGAAGAACAGGTAAAAGAAACCATGTTAACATGGAGCAGGGACTTTGATCTCAACTTTGATCTGCATATCTGGCAAGAACTATGGGCACGAAACAGGAAGCTCACCTTGGCCACATCCTACTAAGAAAACCTTTACAAAATGTTTTATAGATGGCATTTCCCACCCGCAAGACTAGCTAAAATGGGCCCAAACATTTCCCCTATGTGTTAGAAATGTAATTTGGCAAGAGGGACATATTATCATATGTGGTGGGAGTGTCTGAAAGCCATGACTTTTGGAACAAGGTTAAAAAATGGCTGGAAGAAATATTAATGACAGAGGTAGAGCTAAAACCAGAACTCCTCTTACTAGGTATTACCACGCAGAAATACGATAAAGGGGCACTTTATTTAATGTTACATATTTTCACGGCTGCCAGATTGGCCTATGCACAAAACTGGAGAAACAAAGAAATTCCAACAGAAGAAGAAATTCTATATAAAATCTTATCGTGTGCTGATATGGATAGACTCACTATGGAATTTAAGGACAAGACAGAAACAGACTATTTTGAAATCTGGGACAAATTTTATTGCTGGTACAAGTCAAGGAGAACTGTTAGTTAGTGTTAAGATTGTGGTATATAAAACTGTATGCTAGTATATAGAGAAACAAATTTGAGACTGTATTATATAGGAAAATATGTATATATAAAGATTAAGAATTATATGTATGACACGGAACAAATTGTTAGGATTATATATACTGGAATGACACGTTATGTCCTTTTTTGTTTTAACTGTTTTATTAATAAAAAACTTTTTAAAAAACGTCATCAAAAAAGCACAACAAAGAATGTTTTTCCTGCGTCAACTCAGAAAGCTCAGAGTGTCCAAGGATGCAGTTTACAAAGGAATTATTGAGTCTGTCATTTGCATCTCTATAACTGTCTGGTTTGGCACAGCAATGAAATAAGACGACACAGACTTCAACAGATAGTTAGGACTGCAAAAAAAAATAACAGCAACCAGCCTGCCTTCCACTGAGGACCTGTATACTGCATGAGCCAGAAAGAGGGCTTTGAAAATATCTACAGACCTCGCGCATCCTCTATATAAACTGTTTCAACTTCTTCCCTTAAGACGACGCTATAGGGCATTGCACACCAAAACAACCAGACACAAAGACAGGTTTTTCCCCATGCTATCACTCTGCTAAACTAATCCCTACAATACTGTCTATACCCTAGGATGTCAAACCATATAGTAGGGCTGTATTACCAATTATTATTCTCATCTTTTCATCTTTCCTATTACCTATTTTCTTAGCTTCTTATAACTATAATTTGTTTTTTGTATCTCATGATTTATGTTGATTGCTTTTATTTAGTATTTTATTATGATTTAGGTTGATTATTTGATATCCTATGACTATCACTGAGTACTGTATCTTATGATTTATGATGATTGTATTTTATGATTATGATCATGATTTATCACTTGTTGATTGTATCTACACTGAGAGCTTATGCACCGGAGACAAATTCCTTGTGTGTCCAATCACATTTGACCAATAAAGAATTCTATTCTATTCTATTCTATTCTATTCTATTCTATTCTATTCTATTCTATTCTATTCTATTCTATTCTATTTCTATTCTATTTATTTGATACATAATGAAACATTTGATCTTACAATCAAAACATGATTAATAAGCAAGTATTATATATGAACAACAGCCTAAATTATTCTGTAATTATTCCAATTAAGTTTAGAGTCTACCTGGTAACCTATTTGATGAATGCTCACATTTCTAAATTTATTGATTTAAATTACAATATTAAAATATCTGTTACATACCTCAACAGACAAAAATGTTGGTTCATCATTTACTATGTCCACTCTGCCTGAAGAGATACTTCTATTTTTCAGCTGAAAATGTGTTTTACTCATGTAGCCATCAGTAGAGTCCTATGTTTAGATATTAAAGAAAAGCAACCTTTGAATTTTTTGTTTTCAGGAAAGAATTCTACAAGTTAAAGGTTTAACTTAAAGGATTTTAATTAAATTATGCAATAAGCAAACTGATACAAAAGTATCCCAGAATTAAATACTTAAGTCCTTGAGTAATCAAAATTCTGTGAAGTTGAGCCTGTCTCTCAGATGTTACATGAATACATATATGTCATTTTCTTGGAAACAATGCATAATTGGTTTGTCATTGGCTTTTTCCAGGGTGTTTTGTCAAATGTTATTGCTCAATATTCTTAAAACAATATATAAAAATTCAGAATTATTAGACCTATTCGATGGCACATTACACATCCTCTTCACGACCTGTTTTCTCTGTGCATAAATGATTCACCTGTGGAGATGGTTACCAGCATCAAATTCCTGGGTGTGCAGCTAACGAGTAGGCTGACTTGGTCGCTCAACAGTGAGAAACTGGTGAAGCGGGCACAGCAGCGCCTGCATTTTCTGCGCCGCATGAGAAAAGCACATCTTCCTTCCCCTGTCCTGATCACTTTCTATAGGGGGACAATCGAGAGCATCCTGTCATACAGCATCACAGTCTGGTTTGGAGGCATCACTGCTTCAGACAGGAAGGCGGTGCAGAGAGTGGTGAGAATGGCCGAAAAGATCATTGGCAGTTCCCTCCCTCCCATCCAGGACATAGCACAGAAGCGCTGCTTGAGCAGGGTCCGTAAGATTATCTGGGACACTACACATCCTCTTCACGACCTGTTTTCTTTGTTACCTTCTGGGAGGAGGTTTCGTGGTATCCGAAGCAGAACATCCAGATTTAGCCAGAGTTTCATTCCATACAGCATTAACCTTGCAAACTCTCAAGCTTCCTCCATCCATTATATATTCAAGATGGACAATATTTAATATTTATTTGCTACGTATATGTAGGGATGTGGGTCTATACATATATTGTTCATAGTATGTTTAGGTGTGTGTCATGTATGTGTTTCACTTTGTGAGTGGGCAACTAAATTTCATTTTTGATGTGTGCCATTGTGCCCACAGTATAAAAATGACAATAAAGGTTATCTTATCTTATCTTATCTTATCTACTCCTACCCACATTTTCTATTCATGTTTATAAAATATAAGCCCCTTTAAATTTAATGTTCAGTCTCATGTATGCATAGGATTGCTGCTTCTGTTCTATTGATTCTATCCACTTACTTTCATAATACTAGAAAAATCTTTACCATTTTCTTTCTGGTAATACTTCAATTAATTGATAATCTTAAAGCTGATCTTTTTTTTCTCAATTTTCTTACTGGAGGAATCTTTTCACTTGCTTTCTAAGCTATCCTAGTAATATTATATTACTATCAAATATTAATTCATTGTCATGTTTTAAAACTAGTTAATCAAACTCAACCAACCATTATAAGTTCTAGTGGTATTGCAACATAAAATGCATTTTATTTATGATTACAAAAGTGTGTAGGTAATATATGAAGATTGAATCTAAGAAAAATTCAGTATTCTGAATACAGATGTTTTCATAATATGCAGTAGAACCTGATCTTTCAACAGAAGAATAAAAATACTAAATTTCACTATTTAAAACAATTATTAATTAGCTAACTAGAAACAAATTTTTCAGATGAAACATTTTGAAAAAGAATTGGAAGTTTCTAAGAACACATTTTGAGTATGATCTTCCAGGATGAGGGCATAATTATTTGTAAAATATTACAATTTAAAGCATTACTTAAAGAGGATTTGTTCCTTTTACAAAGCAACATTTTACAAAGTGTATCATACAATATGATTTTGCATTTTGCCTTACAAAATGTATCATATCAAATGTGGCAGAGAGAAAATAAAACACAGGGTAAATATTCATAAATAAAAATCTCTAGTTAATACCATATTGAATAAGAATTTCAAAATAGTCAAAACAAAACAAGGTAGTATTGTTATTAAATCATATACACTGACCCATTTTTCAGTTAAGTGCAGATGGTAAACCGATAAATTGTAACAAAAAAGGCACAAGCATTCAACAGACATTCAGTAAAAGCACTTGACAAGAAGCATGAAGAAGGATTCTTCCCATATGCCATTGAAAACGGAACAAAAAATTTACCATCTGTAATACAGGAGAATGTGAAATAGCACTTTCTAAAATTAAACATTAAAGTACATAGACCCAGAAATGTACTAAAGAGCTCTGTAAGAATGAAAAAGTATAATTAAAATTGCTAACTTAATTTTCAAAATGTGAAGGTTTTTTTGGACTTTGGGCATTATAAATGTCTCAGTATGGTGCTTAGCAGCTTCAAATACTCTTATCAGCTAGAATTTATCTAGATCAGTCATGTCAAACTCGCAACGTCACGTGACGTCACTCACCGTATCGGAGCTTTTTTGCCATTGCCGGCAATGGGGTGGGCGCGGCTCCGATATGATAAAACCGGCCCGCAGGCCGGCAGTTTGACACCCCTGATCTAGATATATATATGTTTAGGTGATGCCCACTTACAAGATCAAACCTGTTATAAGACCAAATCACCTTTGGTTTGGTCAATCACTGATGATTGATCTTTACAAAAAAGATCAACTTTTTTATTCTCTTTGATTCACTGACAGCTTTTGATACTGTTGATCATAGTATCCCTGAATCTGGATATTGGAAGTTAGAGATACTGTACTAACCCCACTTGTATCAATATTCAGGAATAAAACTGTATAATTCCAAGCCAGTTAAGCTGAAAGATTCCATAACAATCTATTTTATCCCAAATGCTGGTTAATTTTTACATGTTTGTTGAAGGGGAGCACCACTAAAATGTTTTTAATCTGTTCTAAAAATGTTAGTGCTTTTTCCCAATTTGCTATCAAGCCAAATTCACAGTAGCCTTATATGATATTAGAACCTGAATACCTATACGTGTTTGTGTCTTTATGTAACTGTCTGTCTAGACTATGGGTGTCAAACTGCCAGCCCATGGTCTGGTTGCATCATGCTGAGGCTGTGCCCATCCCAGCTCTGGCAATGCAAAAAAGTCACGATACGTTGCGACACGTCACGTGATGCGGCGAGTTTGACACCCAAGGTCTAGACCTACTGGGAATGCCATATTTTCCAGCAATTTGCTACTATATATTGTGACCCCAGAAAGGGCATTCTTGATTCAAGTACCCTAGTAGTGGAACTCCCCCAGAAATGCCAGGCATTAGGGTCACAATGTTCACTTGGGTATAGCTTATCTTCACGTCTTCTGGTCTTATTCATTATTGTCATGTAGCTTGTTTTTAAGCTGGTTTTAAATATTTTATTTTTAGAAGTTTCAGTTGCTTAAAAGTCACTGTAAATTGATTTTAAATGTCCTCACTTTGGAATTTGTTATTTACCAATGAAAATGGGTTAAAATTTTATAAATCAAATAAATTCACAGCATAAAACCTGAATAGGTCATATTACACATGTAATCCCAACAACATTGGCATATTCCAGCTATTTCATGTCTTTCCCCCCCACCCCACCTTTTCTCAGAGCAAAACCACTCCAGTGGAATGCTGAGGCCCCTTTAAGTTCCTTCTGCTTTTTTTTTTCACTGCACAAAGTTAGCCCTATATGATTAGCAGACAAGCCAGGCATGCCTCAGCAGCAGCAGAGTGCTGGATAGCAAGGGTGTCTGGAATTCAGCCAGGGGTCTTATGTCTTGCAGAGCATGGCAAGCAGCCCTGGAGCTACTTGGTTCCAGGGCTGCTTGCTACTCCGCAAGGGTGCAGGATAGCCAAAAGGGCAGAGATGGAGGGGAGATAGGCAAGTAAGGGGAAATGGAGGCAGCTCTTTCCTTACTGAACCTTGGACATGGAAGGACCCAAAACCAAAATGGCTTAGACTAGGTTGGTATTTGGCTAACAACTGGTAAATTTCACTTAATGACAGCAATGTGGATTGCCAAGATTGCAGTCACTAAGTGATGTAATCCCATGATTTCTTATTTTACAACTGCATTGCAGCAATTGAAATTCTAGTCTCAACTGTGGTCATAAATTGAAAACTATCTATGTAGCCACTATTTTCAAGGAGCATATCAGGAATCACTTGAACTTCTGTTTCTCATTAACAGAAAAGCAGAGGAATTATGTAATGAACTTAAAGAAGTTATTACGGAAGAATGCGAAAAAAGACTGCCAAAAATGAAGAAAGTGAGGAAAGCAAACTGGATGTCAGAACAAACAGAGAAAATGGCAAAGTAAAGAAGAAAGTCAAAGTCAAACAACAAACATGTCAGAAGGGAACTTAACAAGGTGTTTCAGAGAGCTGTTAGAAGAGACAAGAAACAATATTTGTAAAGACAGTGAAGATGGAAACAGATATGGAGAGCAAGGAAAATCTTTCAAAAGATCTCTGAAATCAGAAGAATGTTCTAATCTCAAATTGATATGCTAAAGGATGCCAATGAACAGACAGTAACCAATTCAGTGGAGATCAAAGGAAAATAAAAATATACTGAAACACTATACAGTAGAGATGTCGAGGTATTCAATATACCTTAGAAGATATTCTCTACTTACAAGTAACAGAAGATGAAGTTAGATAAACTTCAAGCCTTACCAAGTCAGAAGGCTATAGGAAGTTAGTATACTTAATACCCTTAATTTCACATTCTAGCAAAATAAGGATCATCCAAAGCAAAGTATAGCCATACATGAGAAAAGAGATGCCAGATGTTCAGATAGCTTTAGAATAGCCAGGGAACACGAGATATAATAGCTGATGCTGGATATTTACGAAAGCAAAAGAATAGCAAAATGCTTCACTGAAAAGTCTTTAATTGTGTTGATCACATCAAGCTGTGGAAAGTGCTAAGAAAAATGGAAACCCCAGACTTCCCATTATTTTCATGGGAAATGTACAGATAGGTCGGGAACTCACAAAAAAATAGACTCATTCCAGGTTGGCAAAAAGAAAATACGATAAGATTGCATACTTTGCCCTTATTTATTCAATCTATATGCTGAATATATATTAAGGAAAGCTGGATTGGAAGAAGATAAGAAGGTTGTAAAACTGAAGGAAAAGATATAAATAGCCTGCATTCTGATGATACTGCTGACAGTCAAAAATGCAAAGGATCCACAAGCCTTAGTCAAAGAGCACAGTGAATAAATAGGACTAAAATGAAATATAAAGATAACCAACCTAATAATAGCAATTGCAACAAGTCCTAGATTTGACATCAAGGTATCAAAATGGTGGATAGCTTCTCCCTAAACTATCAAATGTAAAGGAACAAGCAGTCAAGAAAACTAGCACTTGATAGAGCAGCTATAAGGGCCTTGAAAAAAATATTCAAATGATATGATGTGTCTATACTTATCTACCTACTTATTATAAATTATCCTACTTCAAATGTATTATGCAACAACTCAGGTCTCTGAAAAAGGCTCTAATGCTGAAAAAGATGGAAGGAAATAAATGGAGGCTGACAGCAGTAAGGTACATGCATTCAGTTACATTGAAAAGTACCCTGTTGAGCAATTTGACAAAACAGATTAGGGATAGATCATGGTGCCAGGAATTGAAAATCTGATGGCACACAGTCTATACATCTATTGCTGTTTATATTACTGCTGTGTAGCTTTATATAAAGATAGAGAGGGTTGCTTCCAACCACATTATATTTTGTTTGTTCTCCAAGGACCACAAGAAATATGTCGAGATTCCATTTTGGGGAGTGAAAACATACCACATCTGAAAACATATTACTGATAATTAAACAACAGAAAGTTGTAGAATTTAGATCAGCACAATAATCTGGGAATATTCTGGGTTGTCCATTTCTGCTTTGTATCATAGATACAGACTGTTGTTCTTCACTCGGGTTTTGTGTTGCTCACAAGTGATATTAATTTTGATGTAAAAAATATATTTTAACATTGGCTAAAATGAAAAAGCTTCTATAACAGAGGAGAAATATTTTTAAAGACTGATGAAACACAAGAATTTCTACTCTAGACACATTCACTTGCTATTTTAATCACTTTCCTCTATACCTCCCAATATGTTCCTGATACATTTCTCAAAATCCATATGCAGTCATCAGTTCCAAAGACTCTTCAGTAATGTTTTCATTAGTGAGCATTCAAAGATGAACAATCCCCAGATGTTAGTGAATTACAAATCTCAGCATTCTTCATCATTGTCCATACTGATAGGAGATTCTGGGTATTGGGATCAATAAATCCTGTATTATACCAATTGAACAGTGGTGCAAAAAAGAGGGAGGAGGAAATCTGCTTGCTGCAGTTTTCCAGATAACAGTTAACTACCAAGAATCACATTTCTCCTATTAATTTTTTTCTAGCTAGCAACATGCAGTTGCAATATGAGGTATAGATCCAAAAAACGGCTTTTATGCCTGATTTATGCTTTCACAAAGCCTTCGGAAAACTTGATTTATCATCTACCACTATGCCACAAAATGAAAAAATATATATAATTTATCCTGCGAAAATAGGACAACTGCTCCAGGTACTATTAACCAAACCTAGTTATACATTTCTTACATATTATCTCATTTAAGAAAATTAAACATGTTCTTGACATGGGTATTTTTAAAAAAGATGTTCCGGGGTTGTGTAAACACAGCATGGGTTCCTGGTAACAATATCTACTGAAAGACAACTAAAATGTATGGTTGGTAATAAACAGTAGCTGCATATTAACAACTCATTTCTCAAAGAAAGCACAAACAAATTGGGATTTTATTAGCTGTTTCATTAAGTTTTATTTTAGAGAAACACATACAAAAAGCATATGTGCAACAGCTGATATAAAAGGATTCTATTCAAAACAATCTCTGTTCAAACCCCATTAATGCACCATTAAATTACTTGATAAGTCTGCAGATTTAACTATAAATTTAACTCTTTGGGTAATATATCAATTCTGACAAGTGTTTATTTCCTGTGATTTTAAATCAATGTATGTCTCTTTTCAGCATATTAATTCTGTCCTCCAAGCTGCATTATGTCTGCCTGCCTGCCTCCCTCCCTACCTCTATCTATCTATCTATCTATCTATCTATCTATCTATCTATCTATCTATCTATCTATCTATCACAATGCCATAGGCTATTTTAGCATTTCTTTCATCAAGATTTCACCTAAAATAAATAAAATAAATATATGTACTTTTGTCAATATACATTTGAACACAAAACCAATTCCTTTCAAGAAAATTACCTTGTCCTTAGTTGCTTTTACTGGCATCTTATATTTATGTCCCCACTAAAACCTAATGAGCCAAATTCAGAATGTACCTTTGCTAGAACAAACTATGACTGTACATGCAATAAAGACTATAGTTGCAAACCAAATCTAAACAGAACAAAAACATAGGATTATTGGATAGGAAAAACAAACTTCATTTCAGTATCTTGGTGTAAAATCCCCTACTAAACATTGCATAAAATCTCACAAATTGGCAATTCTTGGTTTATATATTTAAAATTATAAGTAATCACATGAAATCACATGAAATAAATCTCATTTGAACTTTTTAGTAAGCATATATACATGTAAATTGATATTATTATACATTTGTGGCAGGATATGATACTCTGATGGACATAGCAAAATATAAAATGATCGAAGTGTAAAGATTTTTTTTTTTGCCAGCACCAACTCAACTGTTAGATTAGACATCTAGCAGCTTCATATCTAATTAAATTACCTGAGAGCAGGTAATGTTTGGAAATATATATATATAAAACAGGCAGAAGTGTTAGGCAATGGTAGAATCCTCAATGTTGAAGATTGCTGGACATTTTCTGTACTGAATGTATGCTGGATGGACTTGACACTTTGTGTGAATCCAGACACAGGTTGAAGAGAAATTTGTAGCTAAAAAGCCAACAGAAGAAAGTACAATCTGAACAAAGTTGTGGAAAGGGGTGGCTGGTGGAAAAAATATGGCATTTGGATAAAGCAGCAAGGACAGCTTGACAAAAGTTTTGGAATTCCAAAGAATTCAGGAAAAAGTTGTTTTACTACCTTTTTCTCTCTCTACACCAGCGGTTCTCAACCTATGGGTCGCGACCCCATTTGGGGTCGATCGACCATTTTTCGGGGGTCGCCAAAGAAGGCGATCCGCCATTTTCTCCCCTCAGGGGGCGGCGCTGCGCATGCGCAGAACATTTGTGTGACGGGGGTCGCCGTCACACAAACATTGAGAACCACTGCTCTACACTAAAAGGAAGCTCAAGAAGTGAAAATATTGAAACTGACTAATAGCAAGAGTGCCAGAGTTGTGATAAACAATCTTGTATGAATCAATGAGGAAGCATAAACTTAAAAAAAAAATAAACTTAAAAAAATTCTTACAGAAATGTCATTTGTTAAGGCCATTGCATCTACAGTATTACAAATAATTTATCTATCACTGCATTTAGAGGACACTGTAGGTGTCCATATGTATCTAAAAGTTCCTATCCCTCTTCCCAGTTTCTAATAGTACTTATGTCCAAAGTCCTGGAACTGAAATACAACTACAAAAACAGGACTATCCTGTGTAAAGTCAGTGCATCTAGCTCACTTTGATGTATAGTTCACTGATTGGCTGTAGCTCTCCATGAATTCAGAAAAGCATTTTTTCTTATTCTATCATCAGATAAATTGAACCTAGGAGCTTCTATATGTAAAACATGTACTTGTCATATTTGTATTATATTTATGATAAAGAAATTTCAGTTATCAGCACAGTAGAGCACAGATAGAAAATCATAGGAAATCAGATAGGATTACAGCAATAACTAAAGCTGTGCTGCCCAATCTTTGGGTCATTTGTTCTATATGCAAGCAATATGGCTACAGTAAAAGTCCATCTATTCACAAAATGGTTGTCAACAAGACTTGACTAGTTATGAGTAAAACATCATCAAAACATTACACAAAAGGAAAACTTGTAGTGTTCAAAGAAATCCTTCCCTCTTAAAAAGAAAAAAGCTATCTCCTTAGTGATCTGTAAACACAAAATATCTTCTCCAAGCAAGCAGTTTCTTTGTATACACTTAAGTACTTTTAAATTCTTTTTTTGCTTTGCTTTGTTTAGATTTTTAGGTGTCCTGTGTTAATTTCATTGTTTGGTTTGATCACTGTAGATTTTTGCTACAATGAATGCTATTGCAAAAAAATATAACCTTAGAGGAAAGTGTCTACACTGATTATTTTTGTAATTTTGTGCAAAATGTAGAAGATCATTAACAAGCATAAAGGAAAATTTTCCCAATGCAAATATGTTTCTGCTTCTTTTCAAAAGCAAGTTAAAATATTTATAAAGGAAAAGAATACCCAATTCTCAATGTCTATTTAAATTTTTATTTTGTTTTGTTTTATTTTGTTGAAAGTATCCTAGTCCTATCACTTGTATTTATACTTTTGATTTCAAATTAATAACTGAAATTAAATATCATATTAAGGTTTTAAGAAAAATACAGTGCTTTAAAAAAAGAACCACAGGCCAAGTAAGAATTAAAATTAGATAGAGATCTTACTGTTCATAGTTCTTGGAAGAAGAGCTTTCAGAAATCAAATTACATAAATTTGGATCTTTTATCTTAGTATAAATATTAAAGTATAATAAACCATAACTTGGTAACAACTACTCTTAGGAAGTCTTTGTTATAGATGGCTTAAGACTTTGAAGTTTGCCCATACCTTTATGCTTTTCCATTGCCAATCATCCCCAATTCTTTGTGAATATTGGAGAAATTCTGTACAATATTGCTTGAATTTATTCTCTTCCAAAAAGAAATCTGCATCAACCAAGTTAAGTGACATCTGTCAAGAAATGGAAGTGTTAGCATTGGCAGAAACTGTGAACTCTTAACATATTACCTATCTTCCAAAGGAAAGGAAAGAGAGAAAAATAGAAAATTCAACATACAGTAGGGATTGGACTCATGCCTAATCAGTTTGCTACAGAAGGGCATTTGAAGGGTACCATGTTAGGAATACACTTTTGAAGTAATACATTTATTTGCATGAATCTGGAAATTATTCCAAAAGAAGAAACATTTCCATTTTTAATTTTTGTGCTAGTTAAACATTGGTTACTACTTTCTTACCAATCAGAAAAATGTCAGAAAAAAATCAATGTTCTGTACTGTGCAATAAAATATGTAATTTTTCCTAGCATTCCAACATGGAAAGCATTTAGCTTAACAATTTGCTTTACCAAAATGAAAACAGACTGAATAAGCAAGGGAGCTTAAGAACTAGAGTGTCTATAGATTTGAGTGAACCTGACAGCAAAACCCTTATTATCATGTTTTTAAAGAGAATTATTGATTAACAAATATTGTCATCATCCCAGATTATTGTGAACTAGGAATTCCGTATTCCAGGGTTTGGACTTCATCAATAATTACTAGGTCTCTCAGTATTATGAACAGATACAAAGCAGTAGTTAGCATTGCTGGAGTACAGATGATATAATTGTCAGACATCTAAAAGGAAGCTTGTTTTTAGCAAATAGGCATATATATAACAGTTACAACAGATCAACTAGGAAACTTATAAACAACTCCATTTCCATGTGTGAAATCTTTGAAAAAATTAAGAACTAATTTTATTCGTTTAGTTCTTATAAAATATATCATATTTTAATAAATAAAACTACAGATGAACAACATTCTGAGTTTTGAAGGTATATTTTGAAGTTATATAATCAATCAATCAAGAAAACCAGGTTCAACTTGGGCAACTAGCATCAGGTTAAAAACAGTACAAAATATTCACATCAAAAATAACAATTAATTTTTACTCTGTAGTTTATGTTGCAAAATTATCTTTTTTTATGCTAACTTTTCAAAACTGGCTGCATTCTGCATAGTCTGCTGAACTCATAATTCACCACAGTTATTTATGATCAGTTATAAAGAGTCTTTTTGTTGCCTGCATCAGACTGAAAACTGTGGCAAAAGATAGCTAAATACCTAATGGAGTATATATGTGTGGGTAATCTAAAACTAGATTCATAATCTAAGACTGCTGGAAACCTAACCAAGGAACTAAGAATTATTAAGTAGTGCCTAAGAATATAGACAGTTCTAAGCATAGTAGGTTTTTTTTCACATTACGATGTTCAAGTCTAATAAATTCAAAATTTCCAAATATCAAAGAAATCTTTTAGGAATTGCCCCATGGGTGCCAAGCATGGCATAACAATGGATTTGTTGTATTCAACTTCAATCCCCAAGTCCTGATAGTTTGTATTTTTTTCCCAATTGTTTTTTCCTCAAACTTAGCATCACCCAGAATAGAAACATCAATAAATCAGATTCATTTCTTTTCAGTCTGTTATGTAAGGCATGTTATGAACAAAATGTCTCTCTTTTTGGATCTTAAAGTCCCATTAGACCTTAACCGGCTCATTTTCAAAAACTTTAACTTGAGGTTCCCAGGAGTTTTTACCACATCCAATTCCAAACCTCTGGCAAAGTTTCCAGGGAATAATTCTGGCAACTTAGTCATGACACTGCTTGCAGTCAGTTTGTGAAATTTTGCTGCAGCCACTGATCAATTATTTCATCCTTTATACTGCAAAGGAGACATTTGCTGTTGTTTGTTACATGTTGAATTTTCATCTTCATACAACTAATTGGCAAAGCTTGTTGTTGAGCTGCCAAAATAAAGCCTTCAGTTACTTTAATACTCAATTTTATATAACTCCATGTGGGTTTTTTATCAGCTTTTCCTCCTAAACCTTCAAGTATTAACCATACATGGCTTGTTCTTCCAATTAAATCGGTTTTCATTTCTTTTCTTTTTACCTTTGCTGATTTCAAGAGCTTTCCTTGACTATTTTCAGCAAGGGTTCTTGGTTTTTCTTCATGTCAGGCCATGCTTATATTAATATTATGTTTTGTTGTAGTCAGCCAGATGTTTAGACTGCATTTGGCATTTTTATCCATCTACTGAATCCTTCCAAAGGACCTGGGATAGGCAGGTATTGTTTGATGTTATTAAATGTATCATAGGAGGTAAGCTGTTCCAAATAAAGCTGTCTTTTACAATTAAGTCATGGTGATTTTATCAATGCTGGTGTTCAGGTGATGCTCCAGATGTTTTGGGATTGCACCCAGGCACCTATTATTGTTAGAATATTCAATTGTTCCCATTATATTGATTCAATTAATTAAAATATTTAAGATTGCTTTTTAAGATCAAGTCTTCATTAAGTTCTTTTATATAAATATATATCAACAATAAAATATTAGAAACATTAAAAAGGCAGTGGCAATGAGAAATGCAGCATTCAATCAATAAAACAGCACAAAATAAACTTATACAAAAAATTAAAATTTATAATGTATGTATCTCCAGTTGCACATTTACAGTAATGGGGATAGGTAAACCATCACTGGATTACAAGTCTAGAAACATGAGACCAGCATTAAAACACTCTCTTTCCTTTATTGGAACCAAGAGGCATAATTAAAGTATATGAAACTTATTTAAGCAAAATGTCATACATTCCATAGTGTTTATGGGCACAAGGTTAATAATAAATATTTAGGTTTCTGCAGTTAGTACAACATTATAAATTCTAGCTAGCTATTCCCTCCATCAAGGGTATACTGTACAGGATATACCAGATGTTGATTTCTACTATCTATCTCCATAGTAATCTTTCTCAATCTGTCTTCTAGATTTGTTGGGTTTACTTTCCGTAATACCTAGTACTCACTAGCTGTTGGGAATTTTAAGAGCTGAAGTCAAAATATACCTGTACCGGAGAGATGAGCTGAAGCGGATCAGCCAGCGCGGCTCCAGCTGATCGGCGCTGACTGGGTTCACCAGCTGGAGCTCTGCCTAAGCAACGCGCGGATCCGGGGCTCCGTCGGTCTCAGCTGTCGCCGTCAGCAGCACACAGGCCTTGGGGGGAGTCAGCTGAAGCTGGGGCACTGCCTGCGCTGTGCTGAGGCCCAGGGATCAGTTCTTGCGGCTCCACCTGATCAGCGCTGCCTGCAACGGTCAGCTGGCTGGCGGGTGGTTAGACTAGGTCAGCGACTGAGACTGGAGCTCTACCAGAGCCCCAGAAGGCGGCGCGCCCGGAAGAAAAGAGGAAGAGGCGGGGAGAAGAGGAGAAGGGGTTTGTAAAGGGAGAGCTTTTGGCGGGAAAGAAAAAGTAAAGCGAGGGACAGAGAGAGAAATGGCAATCGGAATAAGGGAGGCTTCTGTGGAGAAAGCCGAGGGAGAGAGAGAGGAGGAGGATGATAGCAATAAGGGAGGCGTTTGTGGGGCAAGAGAGAAAGAGAGAGAAGGCGATAGGAATAAAGGAGGCTTCTGTGGGGTAGAGAAAGGAGGAAGAGGAAGGGGAAAAGAGGTAAGAAGGTAAAAGGAGGCAAGCAGAGGAATCAACGAAGGAACAGAAGCTGTAGAAATAGAGACCAGCAAGCAGAGAGAGAGAGAGAGGAAGAAGGGCTGACCAGCTGTCTGAATACTACCTCACTGTGTGATCCACCCACTGGGAAGGGACTGACCACCACCCCACCATATGACCCGCCTGCTGGGAGGGGGATGACCACAATCCCAAAAGAAGCAGAGGGTCATAGAGAAGGATCCCACTGCAGAAGCCATTAGAAACTTAACACTCAGCAGAAGGCATTTCACTGTGCAAGATTACCTCTGTTTACTGCAGGATGAATTCGGACCTGCCAAAACAATTTCTAGCAAATGTACCAGAAGAAAGGCTGTCTGAGTACATCAGATGCTTGAACAGGTTGCTTTGTAAGATTGTGGAAAAGAAGGGATGGAACCAGCTGAAGTGGAATGGACCAGGATGAAGCAGCTTTCTCAGGATGCTTTATTCTCAGAGCCAGTCTGGAATCAACTAAAGATTCTGAATGCAGGGAACACCTGGCAGTATCATGAGCTCATAAGGACAGTTAGGGCAACAGAAGTGGTGGAGGAAGTCAAAGAGGCCACAGCCGATTTGCCACCAGAATGGTCCCATGTGTGGGAGTGAGAAAAACTAGAGGTGAGAATGCCCTGCTCGCCTCTATGGAAGCCAAAATATCTCACCTAACAGAGATGATGGCCTCGTGGATGGAAGTGGGTGGTTCGCCCTTAAATGGAGGCCTGGCTGAGCTGATCAATGGGAGGATGGACTCTTCTGCTTCAGCTGAGAAGCCAGTGAGGCAGGTGATCTATTATAACTTTGGGGGTGCAGGACACTACAGGCATACTTGTACAAAACTGCACAAACCACAAAGTCCGGCCCAGTCAGAAAACTACAAAGTGACAGGAGTGATGGGACATCTCCCTTAGCAAGAGGCTCACATATGCAGGGTTCTGCTGAGGACAAAGCACAGAAGCCCCGGCAACAATCTTTGGAGACTTGCAGGAGTACTCAAACATGAACTATCAGACCAGATGCTGTGTTCCTCACCGCTGAGATCCCTGAACAGTTGGTGGGTCAGACACCTCACTCCGATTGTCCTAGATGGAAAAGACTCAGTGATGGGGGACATTCAACCTCCAATGCAGACAGTATACTGACACCTAGTGCAAGAACAGGCTCCTGGAGAAGGTATGGGATAGCTGTAGGCAATAGACTGTGTGAGCAAGATACTACAACCAGGGGAGGTGGTGTGTCTGCTAGCCTCTTGTCAGTTGGACTGGAAGCAACCTTGTCCTTGAATCTGATCCCAGAAGACAGAACATTAGGTTGGAAGTAATCCTAGGGGGTCTCCACGAAGGCCTTGTGGCAGGATAGAGAGCAAATCTCAGAGTCCAGAATGTTACCAACTTCCCTGTGAGGTTGAAGGACTGAATGTTATTTGGACAAGTGAGCCTAGCCATCCCTGTTGTACTGCCCGATACAGGGGAAAAGACTGAAATGAGGTTTCAACAGATAGATTCTACCTGAAGAACACACAGCTGGCCCCAGAGTGGCAGGATAGGACTAGAGACAACTTTGGAGGTGGTGACACCTGTTTTTAAAAGATGAATTTGACATGGGGTGCTCTAGAAGCGCTCAATATCGAAGTCATCTATAGAAGTGGTTCTCAACCTGTGGGTCGGGACCCCATTTGGGGTGAAACGACCATTTCACGGTCGCCAAACAAGGCTTTCCGCCATTTTTTTCCCCTTTTCTTTGGCCACGCCCCTGGCACCCGGTGATGTATAAGTGGTTGGGGGTCACCACAACATGGGGAACTGTATTATGGGGTCGTGGCATTAGAAAGGTTGAGAACCACTGATCTATAGGAAGATAAGTCTTTCCAAAAGAAGTCTCAGTGGATTCCCTGACTTAGTGACTTAGACCTCAGACCTGCATCTAACAAGAGTTGAAGAGGACCAGGATCATCTGAGAATTTTGAAGTCCCTATACCTCTCCTACAATAGTAGTCTGGAAGAATGGGTCCCTGAGCATGTGCATAGGTTACCTTACCGTCAATTAGAGAACCATTCCGGATCAGTACACTTGCCCCTCCCCCGGATCGAAGATGCCCTACATTGCTTATCAGGGACAAAGTGTTAGTGTGCTGGATCTGAGAAGTGGCAACCACCAGATTACCATGCATCCAGATGATAAAGAGAAAACTGCTTTCATCTTCTTGGGGTTCTATGAATTCATTTAGATGCCTCAAGGGTTATCAGAGGCCTCTGTGACTTTTCAGTGACTTATAGAGTGGATGACGGGAGACATGAATTTGATAGAGGTGTTAATGTACTTAGATGATATTGTTTTTTGTGAGATTCATGAAAAACATGAGTGCCTGGAAAAGATTCTGACCAGGCTCCATGAAGAAGGGTTGATGCTGTCCCTAGAGAAATGCCAATTTTAGCAATCATCTGTCACATACCTTGTCATGTTGTCTCCACAGAAGGGATATCAACTGACCCCACGAAGGTTGAAGCCGTCATTTCCTGGCTCAGACCCCAAAATGTGGCTGAACTGTGAATGTTTCTAAGGTTCTCATTTGAACACACCAGTGCATCTTCAGGTGTATCAATTGGAGGGGGGGGGAGATTAGGGAAAGGGGCAGAAAAAGTAAGGCTTGGAGAGGCAGAACATCAATCTGATTAGGGACATGCCAATTGACATGTCAGTGCAATCATAGAGCAACCTTTAATGCAGGCAGCAGGCCAAGATAGGATTTTTGCAAATAGTTCCAACAACGTCCTGACCTAGTTGAAGGAAAAGAGGAGTGGGCTTTGGGTGAAGGGAGAGACAAGTTTCCACACCTGCCTGCCTGTCTGCCCACTTGCCTTTCTAATCTTAAGACTACCGCACCCTTTTTTCTTCTCTAGGTTCCTTTCCCCCTTCTTCTCAGCCTCTTAGCTTCCTGCCAATTTCAGAGCAAGGCGCAGTGCAGTTTCTTTTTTTTTCCCTATGGGAGGAGCTCAGCTGGGAAGGGAGGGGAAGAAAGAGTCAAGCAAGTGCAGAAGCCTCACTGGGCTTTCCTATCTTTCTGTTTGGAAATGTATGTGTGCAGCCAGACACCTGCCTATCTCCTGGATAAAGGAGATACAGTGCATAATTCACTTATTGTAGAGTTTCAAGTTGGTTGGTCCCAGTTCCACCTTTAGAAAGAGAAATTTCTGTTATGTATCTTGGAAGAGCTATAATATGGCTTGCCCCTCCTGATTTCTGCAGTACAGTAATTCAGACTTCCGTTCTAGTTTCTGCATGATTCTCAAGGGATGATTGATTAAGGGTAAGTTAACCTCCATGTTTTCTTCAACTTAATAGAGTGCACTGACTGTCAGGTTACCATCTAATTAGGAGTTCCTAGACTAAAATTTGATTGCTTACCAAGTATGCCTTGTGAGCAAATCTAGTCAACTGCAAAGTAACCCAGCTTATATACTCCAGGATGGATCAAAGCAGTATGGTTGATTTAAGGTTTGGTGTGTTGGGCAAAACAAGACTATTAGGTTAATCCTCTTATCCTTCAGATAATGTTGAGCAAAGGCTGCTACCAAGAATTCAAAAATTTAGTATTGAAAGCACTGTGGCAACATGGCTGAGTTAATCTATGAATTTCCTGCAGCATTTGCTAACTGCTGTTGTGATGAGATGAAATAAAACTCTGATGGTTGGAACACTGCCAGATCTTTGTAGTTCATTGCTCTGACTCATCTCATCCAAAATTAGATGTGTTTAGGTAAAAGTAGAATTAAAACACTTAAAAATGTGCATGAATTTTAGATTCTACAATCAGATCACATGTCCCCACAGCTTAAGCAAAGATCTGTCAATCACTATTCTCATTACATAAAAATGTCCGATACAAGGGATCCATGGAAGCAGTTTTTTCTATATTCTCATTTTTTATTTTATTATTTAAAGTTTGAGACCACCTAATTCTGCAGCAATTCTGGGCAGCCTACAGATAAAAATTCAAAGAAAACAAAGTCTATCAAGAAGCAAAAGAATACACCTGACCAGTGGGTGTTTGTGTGTGACTACTTCATATAAGGGATCTGGGATGTGCCCATTCCAGTTGACACGGCCAGACAGAATATGTGGGGACAGGCAGTTCTTCAAGTAAACAGGCTTTGCGCCATGCAGGAACTCTATAGGTGATAATCAGCACTTTTAATTGCACCTAGAAGCCAGCTGGCAACAATGCATTCACAAAGCAGTAGGGGCATGTGTCCATATTACAATGTACTGCCCATGCTGCTGCATTCTATAGCTTCCTCTTCAAAGGCAATCTCTTACAGAATGAAGTGATCTGAATGACTGCTGAAGACCCTCTGGTTCGGAAATGGGCACAAGAGGCACACAAGTTGAACCTGAACAAATGCCCCCTTGGCCACAGCTCCCCCTTACTCTTTGAGCAGGAACTAAGAATCCAAGAGGACCCCCAGAATGTACAATAGTCTTACATGTGGTACTGCAATTCCATTAAGGACTACTACAGATGAAAGCTCCCTGGAACCAGAAGGGCCAAACTATAACATAGTTTCCTTGTCTTGCTGGGATTGAGCCTAAGTCTGTTCCACCCCATCCAGGCACACACAACCTCCAACATTGAGTACAGACTTTGCATTAGCTTGGGGTCCAGTATTTGCATTATGTATCTTGTTCTGCCTGTAAGGTGCTGGAGGCTAGATTGATAACTCAGAAATGAATTGCCTGGATAAACAGTGATCAAGAGGTGCTTAATTCAAAGGGGACTTTGCTATGGGTAAATTACAAAACATTGTGTCTCTTTGCATGCTTGGAATGCTCTTTATTTTTAAAGAATTGCTTTTCTGTGATGTATTTTCCATGTTCTACAAAATCTCAAATTAACAGTGGCGATTTAGGATAATAATTTTAGACAGCAGTATTATACGGACTGGTGTCTGCGTTTACACACAGTTTTAGTCCATAATTGGGATTGTCACATAAACCCATATTACAGTTTATTTAGGTTTTGCTTATGTTGGTTTAAGGGAATTGTAACTTATTGAGAAAATATTTTACCACAAACCTTAATATAACATAATATGAATTCATAATATGAAACCAGTAATAATGTGGTTCATTTAGTTTGGGCTTGAAACAATGGATGAGCTTTCTGA